AACAAGGTGATTTCTGAAGAGATGGTAGCCTTTTGATGTGAAGTCTGACTTTGGTCTAATTTGTAGAGTTCAGAGTTTATTCTCATAGCCTTAAGCAAAATTTGAACTTGTACAATATGATAGAGTAAATGGCTTCAAGGAAACATTCCCAAAATGTTCTTCTTCTCTCACAGCGTCTTTTTCTTGGTTTTCGTGACTTTGATCATATATTTATGCTTTATTGATGTACGTGGATATCAAGAGACAAAGTACACAAGTATCGAAGTACTTTTTCGTACACACATTAAATAATTTAAACATTAATAAATGTTAAGTAGTGTAGCGTGCTCTATACATTTTGTCATTTGTCATTTCACTAATTATTGCATCGTTTGGTGAGACAAATGTGTATTCATCAGATGATAATACAAGATGCTTTATCAACGCTAAAGTGTTCAGGGGTAACTTATCAAATTATATTTTCTATAAATAGATTGCTTGATATAACATTGTGTTAACATATTTCTTTTATTCTTAGTGTTATATAGGAGACAAACTTCTATTTTCCATAAGAAGTTAGCTTACTTGCTCATAGAGTCTATTGAGATATTTTCAATGAAAGACATTTGTTTTAAACGTTGTTTGTGATTTTCTAATTCACTTACACAGTTTGGTCTAGAAATCATTGCTTTAACCTTTGGCGTTAGACGTTATAAGATGTTTTTGGACTAAATGTTACTTGTTTCAAACAACTTTTTCTAGATAATAATATTTCGTTCCATGATGTTTGTTAAACTTCATAACTTGGATTGCTTTCTTTTCTCTAGACAATTTTTGTCTTAACATGTTTATGTGATTTTTATGGTGTAGGATTTCACAGAAACAAAACCACATTTGAAAAAACATAGACTTTAGATAGCAATTATGGTAAAAACCGAGATAGAAAAGGGTATATGACATCAATTCTAACACAAACTGAGGCCCTAGAAATTTACATTAAAAAATTATTTTAAATAAAATTGGACCTTTGACAGTGGTTCATCTACGAACCGAAGCAAAAAAGGGTCTATGACACCGGTTCCAATAGCAACTGCAGCCATAGATCCTATCAAATTTTAAATAATTATTTAATTTTCAGGATCTATGGCATTGGTTCTCCTAAGAATCACTGCATTGAGCCTCAAAATTAAATAATTATTTAAAATCTAACAAGGTCTATGGTAACGATTGTTATTGGAACTAGTGCCATAAACCTAAAATTACTTTATTTATTATTATTTTTTTCTATTTACTGCCTCATTTTTTTTATAACTGAAGAAAAAAAATTAAACTTCTGGCTTCAATTCCTAACTAATGCCAAAAGTTCCCCTTTTATATCTCTCCTTAATATGCCTTAGTTCTGAAAGCACTGCCATAACTCAACAATAATTGTTGTCGTCTACCTTCATAACATGTATTATTAAATAGATGCACCATAGATCGAAAGGGTATTTGGGGGAATAGGGAACTAACCTTAAGAAAGAAATGATAGATGCGCATTCTGGAGAATAGAGACACTTGTTATCTTCATTATTTTCATCATCTTTCCCTTATTCATTGGGGTCACATGTAGTGTGCCTTCACTGTTTCTGATTACTGTTATATCATATACTTCTTTTCCGATACTCTTGTGTTTAATTCTCGTTCTTAATTGCATGATTATTGATTCTTTATTTGTTGATATTTGATTATTAAGAAATAATTTAGAACCTTGATTATGGTATAGTAGCTAAGAACCTTGTTGTATAGTGTTTTCACATTGAATTGGAACATGAAATCCAACCTCGATGAACTCTCTATACCTCATCGTTAAATTCATATTTTTAAATGTTTTCAAGAATTTTATATTTACCCTATTAAAAACGTCAACCACTTTTCATTATTTCAAAGTTTTTAGCTTTAATCATTAAATGATTGTAGTTTCAATAAACACATGTAAGTCTCTTGGAAAAATGATATCTTGATTTTTCACTTTATTACTTGTATAATTTAGTACACTTGTCCATATCTTAACATATTATTGATGAGTGATTTACCCATGTTATACTACTTAGTAGGGGAGGTGACCTTATCATGAGATATTTATAACTGTTAAAATAAAATGGGTCAATTTCTCACACCAAGAGGGGGGTGAATTGTTGAAACGTAAAAACAAAGTCTTTTAAAATCTTTTTCGCAAAAGGTGATGCCTTTAAAGCTTTCTTGAAACGCAATGTAAAAGACTTTCTAATGCAGCGGAAACTTAATCAAATAAGTACAGAGTAAAGTCGATTAAAAGTAAAAGAGTAGGGATCAGAAAATTCAAACATTGCTCTTTATACTGGTTCGGCCAACCTGTCTGCATCCAGTGTCCTTCCAACCACGGGAAGCAAATGCACTATAACGATCAAGATTTTTACAACAAGGCTTTCATAGAGATCTCACGTCAGAAATATAAAACACCTCTCTAACCCTTTAATCAAATATAGGCAGTACAATAACTAGACCAGCAGCAAGAATCCCCTATCCTGCTATCTAAACCCTTTGAGACACCTCTCAAAGTCAAGAATGTCGCACGCTCTTCTTCACAAGATTGTAGACTCTGATCTCGCAGTTACACCCAAATGTGCATAATTGATTTGTGCTATAAATACACAGCAAACTTGTTCTTCAAGAAATCACAAGGAGATGATCACCATCGTCACTTCTTGATTCTTGGAGCTATTTTCCTCTTTCTACAAGATAGCATTTTCTGAAAAATATCGCAAAAACTCTTAGATTCACAAAAGTACTTACAGAAATCAAATTCGCGTCAATTTATAGTATAACACATCTCTGACGCATTTTAATCGACTAAGCTACTAATGCAGTCGAATATAACAATTTTGTTATAGCAGTTAGTAGCAATCAAAGCAATTAATTGAATTCACAATTAATGCAATCGAATGACATTTAATGTTTGGTCAACATATTTAAAAATATGACTATTAGACAGTTATATCAAGCATTAACAAAATTTCAAAATAGTAACAGCCTTAGTCGAATGCAACACGCATATAATCTATTATGTAATAGTGTAAATCATAGTTTTAAAAAACTTTCTCTTTGAAAAATCTCACAGCACACTTTGAAAAAGGTTTGTGCAAAGACACGAGTTCTAATCGACTCACCCCATAATGAAATTGACTTAAAACTATTGTTTTGCCACACAATTAAAATTCAACATTAGTGCTTGTGGTTTTTCTCATCCAAAAACATGTATCATGCATTCATGTATAAAATCACATATATAACATAGTGTAATGCAGTGAAATGCAATGAACAACACAATAACAACACAATCATGTTCTCATATACGCATATAACATGTAAGCATAGAACATGTAACATATAATACACATGTGTTATTAATTATGCGTTGTCATCATAAAAAAACTCTTATATTACTGAGATTGTGGGTTCAGCTAAACCAATGCTCCCCCTATCAACAATCTCAACAATAACGTTTGAGAGGTAAGAGAGAGTATGACAGGTGCAAGTTTTAAGATTCTAATTAATACACTATAATACACTATAATGATTAAGATTTTTAGAGCAAGACTTTTATAGAGACCTCACGTCAAAAATATAAAACACCTCTCTAACTCTCTAATCAAATATAAGCAATACAATAACTAAACCAGCAACAAGAATCCCATCTCCTGCTGTCTAAACTCTTTGAGACACCTCTCAAAGTCAAGAACGCCACACTCTCTTCTTCCTGTAGTCACAACAGGGAATCTCAATCCAATCTTCACAAGATTGTAGACTCTGATCTCGTAGTTATAATTGACAAATTTTAGAAACTTAATAAATTTTCAAAAATTTCAATCATGAATGAATTTATTAGTCCTTTTTTAAAAAAATTAATTAACTATATATTATTGACTAATTTTATCTGTTAGAAATATTTTACAATAATAAAATTATGAATTACCCATAGATCGATTGTAAACCGATATTTTTTTTTGATAATTAAAATTCTAAACTTCCTAAATAAATTTTGTTATTGACAAATTTTGTTATTAATAAATATCCTTTTATTAACAAATTTTGATATCATGATTGTACCAGGGAGTGCCGGGCGCCGTACGGAAGGATGCCCGAGTAGGCGGCCATCCACCCGTTTCGGTGCCCACGTCACCCAAAGGACTAAATGCCCGTCCGCCCAAGTGGATAGAACCTCTGTTTGTAAGAAAAACTTTGAAGAACTCACATGTAATTCTATCACCACAAGATAACCCCGCACTCTCTACACTCACAAAAGGTGTTCGTCAAGAAAAGGCCAAGAGACGAAACGTCTGGAGAGTATGTATGGCCACTGCGTCAAATCTGTACCAGAGTGCCGGACGCCGTACAGAAGGACGCCCATGTAAATGGGCGTCCGCCCAGTTTAGTGGCCCGAGTCATCCAAAGGGCCAACGACCGTCCGCCTTCCCCAACATTGGAGGCTTGGAAGAGTATCTATTAAATAAATGTGAAGGATCGAATAGGGTAAGGCGGACGCCCATATCACGTGGGCGGACGCCCGTACCTCGTTAACCGGCCAAATCACTAATCGTTGTGGCTTAGGTAAATTAATCTGGTTTGGAGGTAAGTAGAAATTAGAAGCTATTGGGCCATTTTGGGCCGTGATTAACTTTTCACTAATCCCAAGCCCATAGCAAAAACTATAAATACAGGTCCACGGTGAGTGGTAGACAGGTTACATTGAATGCATATTTATTGCTATCCCTAAGAAAAGCCATTGCTCTGAAACTGACTTTGGCATCGGAGAATCTTTTGCAGGTCTCCACCCCTCATGAACAAGAGGAGAGCTAAGCCTTGAGGAGAGGACCCGGCACCGAAGCAAGACCACAGGAGAATTTGGAGACTTGGAGCAGCACAGCCCTACACATCCGAAACATTTGGCGCCCACCGTGGGGCCGTGTGATTTTAAAATCCCAATGGTGACCACGAGAAACATGAGCATGGACGACCCCGTTGAGATGATCCGAGCCCTGCAGCAAAAAATGGACGAAATGCAACAGCGTCACGAGGACGAACTGACGGCCGTAAAGGCCGATTGTGAAGCCCGGATAGCCCGGGAGGTTGGAAGGGCGGATGGAGGAGAGGAGCGAGCGAAGGATAAAGGAAAGGCGACGGCGGAAGAACGCACGCCTCAAGACACCGAGCGTGATAGCACCTGGAGGCCTACTGGGTCCGAGGCGGAGGGAAGTAAAGTTAAATCGGTGCACGCTGAGAGCGCTGCCGAGGACGGGCGGATGATAGTAAAGTCGGAACCCCCGTCCACTTTATTACTTCCATTCACCCAAAACATAATGAACGTCCAAATTTCGGAACAATTTGTGGCTCCACAATTCAAGATGTATAATGGGACGACGGACCCCGAGTCCCATATAAAGACGTTCTCAAATGCAATGGCATTCAGAACAGGCAATGACGCCATTTGGTGCCGAGCGTTCTCGCTTTCGTTGGAGGACGAAGCATTGGAATGGTTCAACACCCTACCTCCCAATTCCATCGAAAACTTTGCTGGGATAAAACAGCTATTCATCAAACAATTCGCGGCCAGTAGTACCCAAGACTTAACCGTATTCGAATTAATGACCCTCAAGCAAGGGAAGGAGGAAACGCTGCGGACGTTTATGGATAGGTACCAGAAGACCGTCCGGCGCGTGAGAAGCCTAACGCCAGAGCTCGCCCTTCACTACATCCTACCGGCCCTCAAGCCGGGGCCGTTTAAGGATAGCGTCTGTAGGCGAGCGCCCAAAACGATGGAAGAGCTGAGAGAACGAGCGGCAGATGAGATAAAGGTGGAGGAGATGAAGCTCTCGTACAAAAGGGAGAGTCAGGAGGCCAGGGGAGAAAGGGCAGACGATAATAAGCCCGGTTCGTCGACGGGAAAGCCGTCCGATCCCAGGCACAAGGAGCAGAAAAAGGGGCCTCGCTTCCAACAGTATACCCCCCTGAACGCCCCAAGGGAGAAAATCCTCCGGGAGGCTTTGAGCGTAGAGCTGATACAGGAGCGGGAAGGGCACCCAACTCCGAAGGGAGCCGATTGGAGCAAACACTGCGCCTACCATAAAAATATGGGTCATATCACCGAGGATTGCTGGACCCTCAGGGATAAGATAGAGGAACTCATCCGGGCGGGAAAGCTCAAGAAATACGTCCGTGGCAACCGCCCGCCGCAATCGACCGGTCAGCCGGCTCAGAGATCAGCCTACCGTAAGGATAAGTCGAGGAATTCAAGAGCGGAGCGACCACGGTCAGAGAGGCGACATAGCCAAAGTCGCAGCCGCAGTCGAGAACGCCCCTTGAGGGGGCACATCAACACTATTTCTGGAGGATTCGTGGGAGGAGGATCATCTTCCTCCGCCCGTAAGCGCCATGTTCGAGCCCTCCAGTCCGTACATTTGGTTGACAAGCCACGCCGCTCCATGCCGCCTATTACCTTTTCGGATGAAGATTTTCACGCGCCCGACCCTGACCAGGACGACCCTATGGTCATAACCGCAGAGATAGCGCGGTACGGAGTCAGCAAAGTTCTGGTTGACCAGGGGAGCTCGGTCAACATCCTCTACTGGAAGACCTTCCTGCGAATGGACATCTCAGAGGATCTTATCGTCCCCTATGATGGGCAGATAGTGGGGTTCGCGGGAGAAAGGGTCAATACAAAGGGATATGTGGAGTTGAGGACAAGGTTGGGGACCGGTCGCTCTAGCGAGGAAAAGAGGATCCGGTATCTGTTAGTAGAGGCTAACACCTCGTACAACGTACTGCTCGGAAGGTCGTGCTTAAACGCGTTTAGAGCGATCGTCTCTACACCCCACCTCACGATGAAGTACCCCTCTGAGAAGGGAGCTATATGCACGGTCCGTGCAGACCAGAAGACGGCGCGGGAGTGCTACGCGGCGGGTTTGAAGCTGCAAATCCGACCGATGAAGAGACGGACGGCCGGCTCTGAGGTGGCCATGGCGGACCTCGACCCAAGAACGAATACTGAGGACCGTCTGGAACCCATTGGAGAAACCCAACCTATCTTGATAGGGAGATAACCCACTCAGACTACCCTCATCGCCAGGGAGCTGAACCCAGAGACGGAAAAGGCATTGAGGGCACTTCTGTGGAAGAACCGGGACCTGTTTGCGTGGACGGCAGCCGACATGCCGGGCATCCATCCCGCGGTGATGTGTCATAAGCTCTCGCTTTTCCAAAACGCCCGCCCGATGGCCCAGAAAAAGCGAAGAATGGGCGAGGAGAAGCGAAAGGCTGTGGAGGAGGAGGTAGAGAAACTGAGGAAAGCTGGTTTTGTTCGGGAAGTCACCTACACCACGTGGCTAGCTAACGTGGTTATGGTGAAGAAGACTAGCGGAAAATGGCGCATGTGTACTGACTACACCGACCTCAACAAAGCCTGCCCGAAAGATTCCCAACCCTTGCCCAGCATAGACGCCCTGGTGGACGGCGCCTCCGGGCATCGAGTACTAAGTTTCCTGGATGCGTATTCCGGGTACAACCAGATACCCATGTATGGGCCGGACGTCGAGAAAACGGCATTCATTACAGAGAATGCCAACTTCTGTTATGAGGTTATGTCGTTCGGCCTCAAGAACGCGGGGGCAACATACCAGCGCTTGATGGACAAGATCTTCCAGGAACAGATAGGCCGGTGCATGGACGTGTATGTGGATGACATGGTAATCCGGTCCGCGGATGGAGATGGACACATTAAGGACCTTGAGGAGGTGTTTCGCCAAGTAAGGAAGTTCGGCATGCGCCTAAACCCCGCCAAATGTACATTTGGGGTAGCTGCCGGAAAATTCTTGGGCTTCATGTTGACATCCAGGGGGATCGAGGCCAACCCAGACAAGTGCGAAGCGATACTACAAATGCAAAGCCCGGCCACCCTTAAGGAAATCCAAAGACTGGTCGGGCGCCTCACCGCCTTGTCCCGATTTATCCCCAAGCTGGCGGAAAGAATGAGGCCGGTCCTGCGTAAACTAAAGAAAAGGGGCCGGCCCGGCATGGGACGACGAATGCGAACGAGCGTTTCAGGACGTCAAAACCATCCTTGTCAACCCGCCGGTCATGAACCGCCCGGTTCCGGGAGGAGATTTGCACATTTTCCTGGGAGTGTCAGAGACGGCCATTAGTGTCGTGTTGATGCAAGAACGGCCTCAGGCGAGACTAATTTATTTTGTGAGCCGCACGCTCCTAGACGCCGAAACCCGATACCAGCGAGTAGAGAAGGTGGCCTTGGCTCTGTTGCACGCGTAAAAGGCTTCGTCCTTACTTCCAGAGTCATCAGGTGATAGTTAAGACCGACTTCCCTATCTCCAAAATCCTCAGAAAGCCGGACCTAGCCGGTCGGATGGTGGCATGGGCGGTAGAGCTCTCAGAATTCGGCTTACGATATGAGCCGAGGGGTCGGTCAAAGGCCAACACTTAGCGGATTTCGCGGCCGAGCTGTCACAGTCCGGCCAGGACGAGTGGAACTTGTTTGTGGATGGAGCATCCGGTCGATCGATTAGCGGGGCCGTTTATTAATAGATTTTTTCTCTCTCTCAAGTTGCTTGTTGTTTGTGTTTATTTTTCATTATTTTTATTCTTATTTTTCATATGTATTATTTTATTTTTGAAAAACAAAATATAACTCTCTCTTATGGTGATTGATAGTGAAATATTAGTTTTATAAAAAAAAATTATTTTATGAATATTGTATAATAATCTTTTATGAACATAAATAAAAAACTTTAATTGTTATGTTTTTATTCATAATTCTTTTTTAAGTATGACTTGATTACTATACATTTTCTTTTTAGCAATTATGTGGGTCAATATTTAATTAAATTTTGATAGTTTAATTTTAACTTTTATATTTTTTTAAAATAGATATATTGATAAAGAATAAATAATACATTATATTTTTTAAAAGTAATAAAAGAAAAGTTACATGTAAATATCAAAACAAAATAAATTCAATTTTTTCACATATTCTAATAATCAAATAAAAAATAACTAAAATTTATATTTCTGATTATTATAAGTTCAAAAATTCGAAGGAAATACAATTTTTTAGACATGTATGATTTTTTTATAGTTATAATTATATTAAATTATGTGTTTATTTTTTGTTATTTTAGAAAAATAAATAATTAAATATATAAACTTTGAATTCATATTATTTTAGTTCCTCTTCTCTGAATTATATGATAAACTCAACACAATTAACTAAACAAACATGTTAAATAACTGAGTTATATGATAAACTCAACACAATTACCTAAAAAACATGTTAAATAACGTTGACAGAAGTAAATTTAACTTAAAAATCACTCGGTATATAAAGTAAAATTACACTTAATTATGTAATAAAAATTGACCTCATGGAAAGAATATCCAAAAACTATAATTATAATTATGAAGCAAATATTTGGACATAACACATTCGGGCCAAATACGACAACAGACAATGCTTATGAACTTGGTAAGCAAGAATGAAAGGATACATGTGAACGATGGAGAATAAAAATTGCAGAAAAGAATCAATTCAGAAAAAGTAACTCTTAATTAATTGTGCAGTCACACATTGAAATTTAAGATGTGAAACCGCCATCTACATAGAAAATCTGCCCAGTGATGTATGATGCGGCTGGGAGACAAAGAAAAGCAACGACCGGTGATACTTCGTTGGTTTCTCCTATACGACCAAAAGGTATTTTAGCTGTAACATTAGCATCATACTCTTCTGCTCCAGTTTTCGCCTGTAAGAACAACAATCAACTTATGTGCACACTAAAACATAATGCTAACATATATCTGTCAACTTGGAAATTGAACAGTTAATGCCATTTACACACTTAACGCAAAGTTCCACAAGTAACCTATAATATCTATTTCGTATATTAAACATATACCCTGATAGAATCAAGCATTGGAGTCCAAATTGGTCCAGGTCCTACAGCATTTGCACGAATGTTATCCTTTGCCCACTCCAACGCTACGTTCTTGGTGAATTGATTAATGGCTCCTGAATTAAATTATATATTTCGTTCAGATCAACAAGTTAGATTCGCAATAATATTAGTATAAGAGGAAAATTACAAAAAGAAATTAGTATGATACCTTTAGCGGCTGAATAAGAAGATAAAGCTGGAATAGCTTTTACACCTGCAATGGATGAAATAAATACTATGCTCCCATATCCAGATTGTTTAAGAAGTGGATGTGCAAGTTGAGTCAAATGAAAAACAGACTCAAAATTTATAGCCATTATAGTTGATAAATCTTCAGCAGTGTGATCTAATATGTCCTTTGTTATTTCTATCGCTGCATTGTTCACCTAAGAGACAACCACATATCAAATCGCCTCAAATACAATAATGAAAAATGAATCACAAAATCAACAATAATGGAGACTTCACTGACTAGTTTAGTTACATAGCTCACTGTTTTGAAATTGGAAGGAATTCATTTTAATCACCATAATTATATTTTTTTAAGTACAATGAACATAATTATTATTTTAAACTGTTAAATGTAATTAAGTTTCAATCAATTTTATTCTCGTCTGATATTTTATCTTCAAATTTCTGGAATATAAAGTTTAGAATTGTCTCGAAAAGCTAGTCTCAAATGTCTTTCTATATAAATTACCATATGTGCCAATGGCAATGAAAATAATCCAATTCTCAGCTCAGATGCCTATATAGCTTAGTTGACCTTGCTTAATTATTTTAGGCTAGTCAAAGCTTTTCCTAGACCCTGTTAATTTTAAAACGTTCAACTCAACTTCTTAAAGCCCTTTATGCCTTGCAACTACTGAAATAAATATAAAAATAATAATACTTAAGGTTATGGTGATGATAATCATAATAATAATAATAATAATAATAATAATTGCATTAACATTTAACATGATATAATTTTCAAATAATTTAAATCTTAAAGGCTTTTGATTTAAGTTTTATTTTGGATAATGCCTTTATAATTTTGACTGAATTAAATTTTAAATATATAAATTTAAATATTTTTAATAGAATAAATATTCAACATTTTTTAAAACTTTTTTAAACATCATGCGCTTGATTCGGTTTTAGTATGAATTTATGAAGGGTAGTTGAATGTTACCAGAATGTTAAGCTTTCCGTGGAAGATTGAGGAAACAGTTTCCATGAGCTTGAGGCGTTGTTCGCGGTCTTTGACATCACAGACTGAACCGGTGACGTTGAATCCCTTCTTTTTCCACTCTTCCAAACACTTATCAATATCATCTTGCTTCCGTGAACATACGTGAATGGCTGCCCCAAATTCTGCCAATTCCTGAACGATGGCATGCCTAAGACATCGGAAAGGAAGAAGAAAGATGAGAGAATAAAAGGAAAAAGATAAAAGGATGATATGATGAGATGACGAACCCAATGCCTCGAGAGCCTCCTGTCACAAGCGCCGTCATGCCATGGAGTGACCACCTATTGTCCTTTATGCCGCTCAGCTTTGCTTCGGCCATTTTTGCTTCTAATCGAAGACTTCCACAAATAAAGAAACACAGTTTTCACTGAAACAAGAGCTGCAAGTACCTCTCTTTATATATATACTTTTGAAACCCTTTGTGGCTGTGAATGATTTTAATCTTATCGCCAATTACAAGGAGCCATTACCCTGGGTCCGGAAAGTGAGACCATAAACCAAAAAATCTGTTGAAATTTTGACACACTCTCAAGATAGATCATTACCGTGTGAACCAACTGATCAACGTAATCTGAAAGTGAATGTTCAGTTAATCTTTCAAAACCTCTAAAACAAAGCATATTGATAAGTCACTATCAATCTTAGTGACAGGTATCGTTTGTGTACCAAATTAGGCTTGAGATATTAAGAAGATTTAATACTTTTTTTTTTGTCACAATTTTGATTGAGAATATTCCAAATTGTTGTATTTTTTTTTATTCAATGTAATTCTAAAGAATGTAATTTGTGTTCAATTTAGTCATTTTTGTAAACGTTATTTACATAGTTAACGGCCAGATGTCCAGATGTGCAATTACAGAGTGAAATGTCATGTATTGGCTAACATGTCATGTATTGGTTGACGTGGAGTCCTTTATGGCGTTGTGAGTTGGATTTATTATTTTTGAAATTCTATTTCTGTTATTAGGGTTATTCTTTTGAAAAATAAATTAAAGGTATTTAGTTTTGAAGTTTTAATCGTGGTTTGGGAGGGAAATTTGCGAGATTGGGAAGAACAGGTTTGAGAGAGAACACTAGTGACGTGTTGTTCGAATTGGAAGCATTCATCTTTGGAAAAATCAAGTTTGCATTCATAATCTTTGATTTGTGCCATTGGTATCTAACATTTTTGTTCAACACTGTAAAACCTGGAAAATTTTTCGTTAGTGAGTGTTAGATTTTGGAAAAGTTAGAATTTTTTTAACATTTGTGTAAACTGTTTAGGGCAGTGCATTGTAACGTATTATAATTGGTTGTGTGAATGTCATTGTCGCTTTTTTGTCTTTGGTTTTGGTTTCACATACCTGTTAGCAGTTACTTTTAGCGTTTATATAGTGGTCCCATGCCCATAAAGTTCATTTTGTAGGCTTGCGTTTGGGATGTCTGAGGAGAGGTTTAATGTTGTGGTCCACCATAGTGGGACCCTAATAAATGATATTCCTTTTGAATATGTTGGTGAGGAAATAACATATTGGAGTGTGGACCCTGACAAATGGAGTTATTTCGAAGTGGTAGATGCTATTAAGAAATTTGGGTATATTAAAGTGACTGACATATTTTATTGCGTTGAAAATATTCTGCATAAGTTGGTTGATGACAGAGGTGCAATGAACATGGTAAACGTTACCAAGTATTTTGGGGAAGTTCACTTGTTTATGGTCCACAGTGTGGATGATGAGCCAGAGGTCGTTGAAAATGAAGAAAGTGAACAAGTTCTTTTGCTCTGTCATGGAAGTTTAGACAGTGGAGAAGATAGCCATAGGTGGGGATGGGGATGAAGTGGAGGTGCAGGGTTTGAATGAAGTGGAGGTGCAGGGTTTGGATGAAGTGGAGGGTTTGGACGAAGTAGAGGGTTTGAATGAAGTGGAGGTGCATGGTTTGGATGAAGTAGAGGGTTTGGATGAAGTGGAGGTGTAGGGTTTGGATGAAGTGGAGGATGAATAACAGGTGCAAAGGGAGGAATAAATAGAGGCGGGGGACATGGATGAACAACACGTGCATGTGGAGGAAGGAGTACACGTTGAAGATTTTACTTCAAGTGTGTCTGATGATGCAGGAGAGGTGCATGGTGATGAAGGACAAGGGCATGAAGGGCAACGGGATGTTGATGAAGGAGAAAGGGATGAAGGACTAGTGGATGTTGATGTAAATGTTGATGAAGTACTTTTGGATGATATAAAAGGGGTTGTATCAGTGAAAGTTAATGAAAATGAAGAAAGTTGAAGTAAGGATGAAGATATATTGCACATAGCCAAAAAAAACTCATATGACAGGGGGTTGTCTGAAGATGAGTGGGACTCAAATTTTTTGGCCACTCCAGAAGAAAGTGGAAGTGAGGATGCAGGTGATGAAAGACAAAGTTGTGGTCCATTTGGAATATTTGTTATGCAAAAGAGTATGTTTGAACACAAGTGGGAAGTGAGAACAAAGTTTAGGAATAGAAGTTATGCAGTCCATGGTGGGAGGAATTTGAAGTTTATTAAGAATGATAACAGAAGGGTACGAGTGAGATGTTTGGGTGCCCAAAAAAGTTGTCCATAGATGGCTTATTGTGAGTATTTGGAAGGATGTAGGACATGTCAATTGAGAAAAATATTGGATAATCATACTTGTAGTAGGCAATGCAACATTAAAATGATGAATGCTAAGTGGTTGAGTGAGACATTAGATAATTCACTATATCAAAATCCGAATTTGAAGATAAATGAAATACATTCAAAAGCTTTAAGGAAATGGAATACCAATGTCACAATTTCTAAAGCTCGTAGGGCAAAGATAATTGCATCTTACAAAGTTGAAGATAGTTTTAAAAATCAGTTCAAAAAAATATATGACTATGCACATGAATTATTGAGGTATAACCCTGGATCAACAGTAAAAGTTAAAGTGGATAGTGACAATGGTGAGACAACATTTTAGAGGTTCTACGTTTGTTTGAAAGCTTGCAAGGTTAACTTCCTCTCTTGTAGGCCATTTATTGGTTTGAATGGATGTCTTTTGAAGGAAAGTATAAGGGGGAGTTATTTACATCTATTGGTAGAGATCCTAATGACCAGATGTTACCTCTAGCATATGCAATTGTGGAAGTAGAGAACAAAGATAGTTGGGCATGGTTTTTGGAGTTGTTGATAGAAGACCTTGGGGGTGCTGAAGTATGCAATTCATGCACTTTTATGGCTGATCAACAAAAGGTAAATGTATTTCTTATATGTTTCTATTTTGTTTCCTAATATTAATTGTATTAGTGATATCAAAATTGGTCCCCATTTTTGTTTAAAATGTTCAATTTGGTTCCTTTTTACAGGGTTTACTACCAGCTATGTCTGAACTTTTACCTAGGGCAGAGTACAAATTTTGCATGCGACACTTATATGCAAATTTTAGGAAAAAAACTTCTGGGCAAAACATGAAGAATCTGATGTGGAAGGCTGCTGCAAGTACATACCCCCAAGCTTGGGAAAGAGAAATGTTAAATATAAAGGAAGTGAATGAAGAGGCTTACAAATACCTAATTGTTATCCCGTCAAGGTATTTTGTTCCTTAACAATACATCGATGACATGTAGAGTGGATATAAACATCATTTTTATTCCTTGTAACAGGTATTGGTCTAGATCTAGATTTATAGGTCGAGCACTTTGTGATACACTAAACAATAACTAGAGTGAAGGTTTTAATAGTGTGATTTTTGATGCACTATAACCATGCTCAAAGAAATTAGAGTTTACCTCATGAAAAGATGGGCAACCAGCAGAATTAAGATGTGTAATATGGACTTTGATATCTGCCCCAAGATTAGAAAGAGACTTGCAAAAGAGTCAAATTTATCCAAAAATTGGATCCCTAGGTATGCATTTCCTTTCCCACTATTAGTTGATGGCACTTGGTTTGTGATGAAAATGGCGGTATTGATCACTTAATTTTTAACTTGTATTTATCTATTACTTCATGACAGTTGGTCTGCAGAAAAACCCTATGAAGTTAGGCATTTTGCACATATTACAAACAAGTTTGTAGTTAACCTGGACAGTCAAGATTGTACGTGCAGGAAATGGCTTATTTCTGGGATCCCTTGCTGCCATGCAATTGCAGCCATGAAGCTCTTAAATTTAGATCCAGAAGATTATGTACCCATTTCGTTCAGACGGTCCACGTATGATGAAACATATGCCTCTATTATATTTTCAGTCAATGGCCATCTGTTATGGGAAGACCATCCATCTTACCCAAACGTCCTCCCACCATTCAAGAGAAAATTACCAAAGAGAAAAAGAAGGTTGGAGCAATGAGAGCTAAGGAGGAATGAGACCTAAATGACCAAAGGTGGCCACCACAAAAAATGTAGTATTTGTCGTCAACTTGGACATAACAGAAATAATGGCCCCTACAATTTTAATTATTTTATTTTTTTATTAATTTAAATAGTTTATATTTAATATTTTTATTAATTTAAATAGTTTATAATGAAAAAAATTGTTATTAATTAATTATAATATGTAAAAAGTATACTATAATAATAAAAATTCAAAAAAATAAATTATATTAAAATATTAATTTTTTTGAATTTTTAATTAGATAATTACAATAATTATAGTTATAAATTATTTAATTAAAATTATTTTATAAGAAATTTAATTTAATTACAAAAATAATTAAAATCATGAAATTTAGTTATTTAATCATATTAAAAAACTTTAATTATTAATGAGATATAATTTTAATTATTTTAAAAATATTTAAAAATATTTTTTACAAATTATAAATGATTATAATTAATAAAAAAATTAAAAATTTAAAAAAATAAAGGTGTGTGGGGGTGCACGACTTCTCTTATTGAAGTCGTCATCCTCCCTACGACTTCAATTTTTTTTTATTTGTTTTATGAAAAAAGGTTGGTAATCGATTACAACATCTGGTAATCGATTACCATGCTCTGGTGCACGACTTCATCTCTGACCACGGTATCAGGGTGAAGTTGTGCAAGGAGACACGACTTTTTCATTGAAAGTCGTTTGGGCCTCCCACAACTTGTCTATTTTTGTATTTCGAAATTCTTTTGCTTACTTATGTAATATCTCCGGAAAATTTTCCTATTTTGATACAAAAACCTATATATGAAGAAAAACTCAACATAAGAAGTAAGTCCTAAATAAAAGTTCATTTTAGAATCTAAGGAGAAAAAAAATAATAAAGAAATAGGTCATTGAATTTATTGGATATTTAAAATTTAACTATGATAACCGATCGATATTACTAAAACTTTTTAACGTATGTACCTCTTAAATTTCGACATATGAACAAGAAAAGTAAGATAAAATATGAAAATATAGTTTTTGACCCTAGTGATAAATATTTGATTAATACAATTAAATAATAATAATCACTTTCAACCAAATGAAGATTATAATTTTGTAAATGGAAAATTTTACATGGATACCTTCCCATTTCTTCATTGTTTTTCAATGCTAAATAGAAAATTAATATTTATATTTTTCTGATAAATTCATTCTAAAACTTTTATATTTTAAAATAAAATATTTATTTTATTGATGTTGGTGTGAAATAAAAAAATTGGATGGATTATTCTTTATCATCGTCTGTATAAAAATAACTCATTTCGATCTAAAAGTTTAATAATTATAAATTAGCGAACATATTTTAAATTTTAATTTTTATAAAATTTATTTTTAAAAGTCCATAATAAATTATATGAAATCATAAATTATTGTAAAAGTAATTATTACAGATTTGATATATTTATTTTATTTAATTAAAATTAAAATAAGTTGTTTTTTTTAAATTGATCCAATATAATTAAATTTGAATAACTCGCCGAAATTAACGTGTGATTCCAACAATTCATATATAACAAATTTAATAAATTAAATTATCAAATATAAGTTTTAAAATGTTAAATTTAAATTCTATTGGATTGTAGAAAGTAGATTCAAGTCTCATCATCATGACCGATGTTCGGACCTATTTGCTTATTTATTTCCAAATCTAGAAAGTTAAGAAATGGTGAAATAGACGTTTGTTTTTCCTAAACCGTGAAAGTGACAAATGTTACCTGAGCTAAACTTACTTTCCCTTCTTGTAAACAAGAAATTTGTAAGGAAAAAGTTGTTAATTAATGATTAATTACGTTGCAAATATTTTCCTAGTATATTATCCATACTTTTGTTGTCCAATTTATTATCTATTATTTATTTTCATCTTTTGATGGATTATATGTTAATATTTAATTAATTTTTATGGTTTTATTATAATAAAAGTAAATAATTAAGATTATGAAGTTTATATTGATTAAATTAAGTTGATTCATTGTTTGAAGAATATTGATGTTTACATTATGACAAGGATCAAATATTATTGTTGTGTTATTTGTCTAAAATGTTGGATTATTTATAAAATAATCTTATTATGTAAAAGAAAGATTTTCTTTCTTCATGAAAGCTTCGAATGTTAGAAACAACTTGTAAACCTTAATTGGTCATGTAGGCTAAGCTTATAGGTCATTTAGATATGGTAGTTGGTATCATAAATTATCTATAGTTTGTAAGTGTCTTTGGGTTGATGATGGTTATGAATCATAGGTCCTAATGGTATCGAATAGTATTAATAATTGTGAATGGATTATGGGCTCTAGATGTTGCTTTCATATTTCACCTAACCATTTTAAGAGTTTATGAAACTTGAAGAAGGTTAACTTCATTCTAATAATAACAAGTTGTGTAAGATAACTAGTGTTTGAACCGTTAAGTTTCATTTGCATGATGAAACTTAGAGAGTTCTTGAAGAAATTAAGTACGTATCTATCTTGAAATGAAATTTTATTCCTTATATGAACTTAAGAAAGAAAGGAAATGTGTTTAAAGGAGAAAGAGTATGCGTTAAAGGTGTTAAGGAGATCTATGGTAGTGGTGAAGGGTGTGATAAATAATGACTTATATGTCTTAGAAGGTGTTGTGACATCTAGGTAAGCTTCAACTTTTGAAAAGGCGGTACGGTTAAAGGCTAAGATATGACACAAAACGTTAGACAATGTGAGACAAACTTAATGGCATTGAAGAAATAAGGTTTGTTTCATAGTGATAGAATTGATTAATTGAAATTTTATAAATATTGTATCTAAGGAAAAACCTATAAAATCCATTTTATCTTAGGACAATAGAGGATAAAGGGAATCCTTTATTACATTCATGTTGACCTATGGGGATTTTTTACAATTTCATCACACACTGGAACTAAATACTTCCTATTGATTATTGATGATTATCATAGGAAGTGATGGATCCACTTTATAAGACTAAAGACAAAACATTTTACAATTTGAAAGGTTGGAAATATGTAGTGGAGTACCAAATTGGTAAGACAATGAAAATGTTCAATGTTGATAATGATCTTGAATTTTGTTCAACACCCATTGTAAAGATAACAACATAACAAAACATTAGACAATGGCAAAAACTTCTCAACAAAATGGCCTACTTGAGATATTCATCAGGACCATTTTAGAATGAGTGAGGTGCACATTGTTGAGTGTTTGATTTCCAAAATTTTTTGGGCTAAAGCTACTAGTATTGTTTTTTTATCTGATCAATAGATCCTTGACTACACTTGATACAAAGATTCTCAAGGAAATATGGTCAGGACACTCTCCTAACCTTCAAAATGTTAGAATCTTTGGTTTTTCTGCTTATGTTTACATTAGGCAAGGAAAATTATATGCTTCAATTGTTAAATGCATGTTTCTTGGGTATTTAAATAATGCAAAGGGTTGCTATCTATTAGAGCTGTCAAAACGGGTAACCCGACTCGACCAGGTCCGGCTCACCACGAGTTGGTCACTTAGTGAGCCAACCTAACCCGGCTCACTTATTTGCACACTGAAAAAATTCGAACCCGGTCCGTCCCACCGCGGGTTGGTAGGTTAAACGGGTTGGCTCACTAACTCATTTCATTATAATTTTTTTTTAAGTAAAAAAATTATAATTTTTTTGAATTCAAATATAAATAAATTTCACTCTAAAACGATGTTAAACTCCAAAGATAATTCAAAATAATAATAAAAAAATATCATACAATCCAAGCGTAATAAAAAAACAAGCGCAAAAAATGAACAAATAAGTTTTTAATATTGATAATTTTTGTATCACTTGTCCATTTATAATATAGAGTCTTGAATAGATAAATCTATAATATTTTTCTCTCTTGAAACATCTTTTTTTTTATCCTTTTCTACAAAATAATAAAAAAATGTTAACTAATAATATTAAAACACAAAATAATAAATAATTAAATTAAATTAGGTGGGTTGGTGAGCCAACTCGGCTCATCTCTCGGCTCACCACGGGTTCAACCCAAATGAGTTGGGTTCTAAGTGAGTCAGGTTGAAAACTAACCAACAAAAAAAATTACATTTTTTTCAAACTCAACTCGGCTCAAACCCGTGGTGGGCCAGGTTGGCTCGCGGGTTACAAATCATTTTAACGGAACTACTATCTATAATGTCTTGAGTCAAGACTTAATAGATATGATATGCATTATGGTGATAGATGTTCTAGTGTGTCTAATGATGATAGATGCTTTATTGTTACATCTGATGAGGATAGATGTCTAGCTATATGATGAAGTCTTATATGTTATTAATTACAAACTTGTCAAAAGGAAAATAATAATAGATCTCTAAGAGATGATTATGCAAAACTTATTGCATATTCTTTAATAGTTTCTAGTAAGATGCTAGAAGATTAACCTTCTAGTGTATCCTTTGCATTATCAAGTAAAAAGAAGACTCAATTGCTAGACATCATGAATAAGAAGATGAAGTCATTTCATTTAAGCAATACATAAAGGTTCAATAAAGATGACATCATTTCTTAGTTGTTTGGTTGTAAATGAACTTTTTAAACAAAAAGATGACACACTAGAAATTGATCAATAAAGGTTCAAGGTGAGACTTTTGATTAGAGTTCACTTAGAGGTAAAAAGTTTATTATAATGTTGTTTTATCTCATTGTAAAACAAAAATCCATTGAAATGTTATTAACCATGGTTACTGAGCTTAAATAAGCGAACATTAAGATTTCATTATTATATGGAGATCGACTCATGGAGACCATATAAACAATAACAAAGATTTGAGTTACAAGATAATAATGATTATGTTTGCAAGCTAAACAAATCTTTTTATAGTCTATTACAATCCCAAAGGAAATAAAAAAGTTTAACGAGTTCATTATAAGTATTGGTTTTGAAAATATTAAGTACACCCCTTGTGTCTACTTTAAGTTTCTACTAGAA